CAAAGTTCAAGTATATGTTATATGTACAGGGTGTTAAGGCAACATACATGTCAGTACGACGGGTTGCCCATTCGAGTAGGCGCGCATGGTCGTTCACAACTGCGCGCTGGGTCGGCTTCGGCGAAATTATATTGCGAGATTAATGACAGTAAATTTGATCAGGCACAACATGGAGTCATGACGAAGTCAAAATCCATGTTGTGCCTGAACAAATTTACTGTCATTAATCTCGCGATATAATTTCGCCGAAGCCGACCCAGCGCGCAGTAATGAACGACCATGCGCGCCTGCCCGAATAGGCAACCCGTCGTACTGACATGTATGTTACCTTAACACCCTGTACGTAGAAAAAAACAATTTACTCCGCGTTGTATTCATTTTAATGATATTCCGCGATGAATTAAAATTTACAATATGAATGAAATTTAACAATTAATAACTTGTTGAAAATATGCTGAAAAACCGCGAAGACCGACCGCGAAAATACGAAGATGCGTGCAACTACGCATGTATTCATGCGAGACGCATCTTGAAAGTGAATCGCGGGACACACATACAGAATAAATGACGTGAGATCCAGAGAAAAGCAACTTTCCGTACGATAGATAAGACCGACAATTGAACATTCTAGTTAATCAACAATCTCAAATAACGTATGAAAATAATATAAATCCTGGCTGGGGTAATATTTTTCGCAATAAGAATTTTAATTGCCAGATACGGTCAATAAAAATCACTGATGTTATTAATTTATTAATTACTTCTGGCGACTTTTAAGAATATTCTTACTAGTTGAAAATAATATAAAGTTTCAGCGGTCTCGACAAGATATAAGAATCTCACGTCATAGTTTTTAACTTTAGATACATGTATAAATTTGCTACTGAAAAATGGATAGAATATGTTACAAGGGATTAGCTCGACGAATAAATTAATAATATTCGTCATATTTTGCGTGAAAATGTGTGACGTGCAGCAACCGAGCGCACCCAAACCTTCACAATCAAAATCGCGATCATTCCCCGTCGACAAATGAAATATATTAAAGTGAACATAAAATTATGTTATAATCTATCCATATTTTGGTAATGAATCTCCAGAATATATCAGTCTATGGTCTACATTCTACACACAGAAAAATATTATTATACAGTCAAGAAAAGTAATTACTCAGTTTATTTTATTCCGTTTAAGTAATAGTTTGCTTCAACAGAGGATATTTTCTTAATAATACTTTTAAGATATACTTGTTACTAGTCTTAGAAAAGCTTGCCATCTTATACTCAAAGAAAGAATTTATTCTTCTTTGAAGAAAATTATAAAACTTATTGAAGAATTCCGTATTTTCCTTTTAATAAAATCAGAAGAAACAAAATTGTTTTAAATTCTATGTATTTTTGTTTCAAGTACTAGACTTACTAAGAACCAGAATATGTTTTGAGTAAATATAACACTCGCGACGACATTATGATAGATTTGCGGATACATAAACTTATCAAATATTTTTCTGTGTGTGTACAATCTACGAGATCGAGATTCGTTACCGCAATAAAAAACTACTCACTCACCGACCGACGCGCAGCAGCGGAGTTGACTGCGTTGATTCTGTAACACAAATGTACAATTCGTTAAAGCAGTGTTCAATGTGAAAACTAATATTGTAAAATATATTTGCAAAATATATTTTTCGCGAAAGAACTTCACGAGAATGAACTTTTATGAAATATCAAGTGGTTGCTTGTTCTCGAATTATCATTTTGACATTATCGAATTTTGAAAGGGAACGACTAAAAGAGAAACTGGGAAAGAGATTACTTTTACACAAAATGAAAAATGACATTTACCTTAAAGTTGCTCCGCCGGTGCCTGATGCCGTTTCCAGGCCTGCTCGTCCTCTCAGATTGGTCCTCTGGCACACTCGCGAAGGCACAAAGATCGTTCGCGCGATTTTACACTCCCGTAAAGCCCATCATGTGAAAGCATGTATTTTGTTCCGTCAAGTTCGCCTCCACTTCGAGTCGGCGAGTATTATACGAAAAACTGCCAAATCTCGGAAGTGATCGACAGGAACGGACGTTTGACAAATACTTGCTTCTCAAATGGGCTTTGAAAAGTCTTTAGTCCGATTATTTTAAACGGCACTCCCGATCGCGACGAAAATGGAAATTTTACGCGCACTTTTGTATGTTTAATTGTTAAGGAGATTATTTCTTGGTACGCGATCGATGTATTACAAGTTTTCGTTATTATATTATCCGACGATTCGTGTACTATCTCGCGCTTTTCATCTGAAAGCGATAAATGTTTCACTTAAAGCGACAAAAATTTTCAAGCACTACGTGAAAGAGATTCATTCCAGTTCGATTATTGAAAAAAGACACTATCACTCGTGGATGTAAGTATCGGAACTAATAATTTCTCTATGTAATTCACTTATCGCTTTCTCTTCAAAGCACGCGTGATATTCGTCTCGACGCACCGTAGAGATCAACGAATATGATCACGACAATTAGTTCTCGCACGAGACGATCGCGTTACGAAAAGCGACGCGAAGACACGCGGAACGGAACATCCGACTCGGTCGACTGATACGCGCCGAATGATGCGACACAATAGATCGTTTTCGACCGAGGTCACGGTTACGAGGTGATCACGTTCACGGCGCTATGTACCTACCTAATTTTTTGTTTACCGGCGCTCGGCGACCGAGTTTATACGCCGCAACGATCATTTCCTGGAATCAAAGCTCGGGCTGTGACGCTACGTGTTTCTTGGAATCCGCGCTCGATTGTTTACAATTGCGATTGTCGTACGCAAGACCATTCACGCGTCGGTAGTCGAACGAGTCGATTTTGCCTGTGCCGTATATCGTATTTTCTTCCGTGATACGCGTTCGCGACAAGTATTGAAAGAAACCGCGACCGCACTCTGCCTAATTCCATTCGATTTTGAAGGCGAGGGAGCTAAACTGAATAATTACCGCTTTAAAACTGGCGCGAATTGACGAAGAACGGCGGACCAATCGCAGCGGGCTTCCTTATGGCCAGACTCTGATTAGAGAATCTCTAGCCACGGTCTTACATACCGTGTGTGTACTTTTTCGTACAAAATGTACATACGGGCTGCTTTCGCGAGAAAATTAAAATAAATCAAATTAAAATGACTTTGTGCTATGATTGGTCAAATCTGAAATTTCATAGCATCACATTGAAATTTTACTCAATGAAATTCTTTACTCTTTAACTTTACTCAATGAAAAAAACCTGTCGCGAGCTACCAGATCCATCCCGATTATGCGTACACAATCACCGGCGGCTCTGGTCTAGTAATTTTGACTCTCAGAACACCCGTTGTGTTCTGTGCTTTTGTTACACATATTGGTCTGTGGTCTCAATCGACCAGTCTTCAGGACATCCAGAACAAGGTGGGATACGTCGTGGGATGGGGCCAGAACGAACACGGTCATCTTTACACCGAAGAACCAGGAATGGCGATGATGCTGATAGTGAATCCGGTAAGAACATTTACGGGAACTGGTTTTCTACTTTCCTAAAAATACCTCGATGATAAAACCAGGATATTTATATTGCAGGAGGGAAATATGCGCGCATGCTTACAGAGACTTTTGCATCGTTGACGAGGCGATATTCATTTGATTTTAATACGTTTTACTTGTTAGAATCTTTTTTTCTTCGTATCCTCAAATTTTCTGTCTAAGCACCCTCGAAGTAACACAATTTCATACAGAACCATACAATTTCTAATAATATTTAGAAATTATTTATTTCGCGCTGTCGTTTTAATCTCTGTAAAACCTCAAATAATTCATATGCTCGTCTATCATTTCGATTCCATTAAATTTTCCATCGGCTCAAATAAAAAGCCAAAAATTTATATTCTACTCGGATGGAAATCATTAAATTTTGCCACAACAGTTAAGAGAAAAATCTATCATATTTCTCTTTTTCGTAGCTATTCTCCGTCAACTTCAGAATTATATAACAATTTCTGCCGATAAACTTTTAAGTAACATGTCATATCGGTCGTAACTTATTGGACATGCGTGAAATTCCCATGGAATTTCCAATCGTTACAGTAAAAAACGCGACGTACAGAAAAAAGCGGGTGCTTCAGATATGATCACCTTCTACTTTTCTCTTTGCGATCGTCAGCTTAAGATATTCTGCGTGCCGCCTCGGATAAAATGAATGATACGACCCAACTCATGGCCACTTCGACTCGCGATACCCCACCACCGTACTATCTGACCGCATCTTCGACGTGGAAACAGCCAAGGTATTTCCAGTTACGGCAGAGAATTGACCAGTCGGAGTCCGGTGAAGACTTGGCGAGACGATGGAAGTGTAGCTCCAAAAATTTAATACGCTGAACTCCGGATACGGTAGTTGGCAGTTGTTGAATGTCGCTGGGGATTTGTACTCATCCTAAAGTGCTTCTCCAAGAGTACCTCAAAAGTGCCTCGGGACTAAAAAGCAATAAATAATAAATATGTGCACGCAAACATATTGAAGAAGAATAATTCCAACGCTTGGTGTATATTTTCTCGATCGACAAGGAATTACAGTGGAGTGTTTCAAAAAATTTGAGAAAAAATAAACGACCTTGACAGGATAAAAATATAAGAGGAGTGAAAAATGATAGCGAATAGTTACACGCGAGAATCGCGTTGACTCTTACCTGAGTTTAACGAAGCTGTGATTATACATGTTGCGTTACTGCTGGCTGAGCAACTGCTGACTAATCAAGGTACAAGATAAATGTGTATTCGTAAAATACGTAAGATTTTCTATTATTGATACGTGCGCAGATGAAACACTTTGCAAAATAGTCTCTCTTGGAACGTAAGCTGGAAATGCGAATAGTGACTAAAACGATTCCTCTGAAAGTGTATTCGATTGTGAAATACGTGGCAGGAATTTGCATACATTTACATAAATTATTTGTTTGCTATTTTAATCCGATATATCTTTAACGACGCCTAGTGTCCTTTCTGCCCGTCTCTCGAATTCGTGGAAAAGGGAATTGCCTCATTAAAATTCACATTTTTGTTATTAGTATAATTGGAACATATGTGCGCATATTTACTGTTGAATTTTTATATTATATCGCTAACATTTAATGTTGTTAATTACTAATATGATTAAGCGATTTAAGTATCAAGTATTTCGTTTGATTTTAAATTGATGCGTGGATTATTCTCTTTCTGGAGCAATTTTGTCTTAACATATCTCTTTTGCTCAAAGTTCATCGAAATTTTTTAACTCGAATTATTCAAACCTGTTAAAAGATAGAATGCAATTAGGCTGATCAACTTTTCAAATGCAGATTGATTTGAACTATCGTAATAGTTAAAATAGAAGTGCTCATACTAATGGGAAAATTAATGTAGTACGCTACATGAAATTTAGTATTATCTTTGTTGACCTCTTCATTACGTATCGACATAGGTCAAGCGTTCGCTCTTTCGACTAACAGGGTTATCGAGCAAAATATACGTACAGTACTTAGTAAGAAACACGTTTAGCAGCTTTTTAATCCAATTTCATGTGTTTTATAAAAAAAATGTTGTATTTATTAAAATTATTGTGAACAAATGAACACACTATAGTTGTCATGAACAGCTTACAATAGCTGTAATCAATTTAAAGGATTAGATGACACGCAAGCCTAAGTACAAAAATGCAAAAATCTGTTAAGCTGTATCGATAGTATTTCGACGTTTATTAAATTATTTATTATTGTACTGCATAAAAATTGTGAAAAATATAAACATAGAAAAATTGGTAAAATTTTGATAGAAAAAAAACTAATTTTAATTGCAACCAGAGAATATGTTTGGAATTATATTCTTTAAAAATTCCTCCTAGTGAACGCATTACATATGTACACACGCACACACAGACAATATGTGCATGCTCAGTTTATCTTCATATTTTCATTGTAAACATATTCGAACTTATCCACATGTTTTATCAATTTTCCTGGGTTGCTTGTGAAATATATAAATACATAATAATAAAACGCATTTCCTATTAGATATCAAAATCCATATTCTCTAATCTCACGGATATATTATATCATAATTTGTACGACGAGAAAATATATAGATGTGTAAATGTCAATTACATAATTGCATTGTAGACTTGTCGTTTTCTTAAGAATTTTCTACATAAAGCTATAGATCCTATAAATTCTTGGTAATTATGTAGAATAGGGCCTTTTCCGAATTTTGATATTTTCTTGCGGTTTTCTTGGTAAAAACCTTTGTTGTGACTCCGACAGTGATAATCAATCGGGGGAGCCCGAAAAATATGCACCCCGAGTGACCTTCAGAAGATTGTAGCCG